CCCTCATGACAGGAAAGATGTTGAGGTGCTGGAGTGAGTCTAGAGAAGGGCGGTGGAACTGGTGAAGGGTCTGGAGCTCAAGTCCGACAAGGAGCAGCTGAGAGAGTTGGGGGTGCTTAGCCTGGAGAAAAGGAGGTTCAGAAGGAACCTACAATTACCTGAAAGGAGGTTGTAGCCAAGTGGGGGTCGACCTCTTCTCCTGGGTAGCAAGCAATAGGAAATGGTCTCATGTTGTGCCAGGAGAGATTTTAGATTGGATACTAGGAAAAATTTCTGCACAGAAAGGCTTGCCAAGCATTGGAACAGCCTGCCCAGGGAAGCAGTTGAATAACTATCCCTGAGGGTATTTAAAAGACACGTAGATGTGGCATGCAGGGACATGGTGCAGAGCTGGACTTGGCAGCACTGGGTTAATGGTTGCATTCTGTGATCTTAAAGCTCTTTTCCAACCTAAATAATTCTATGATTCCGCACAGGCTAGAAACATACCTTTCCATGTGTAGATGTGGCATGTTCTTTATTCTTGGTGTAACACCTACACTGAATGCAGAAATGCGTGTTTGTGTAGTTAAAAACAGTCTTAGAATTGGACCTGAATGGAAAAAGACTTCTTGTCCTGAAATGGGGGAGAAAGGTGATTAAGAAATTGTCTTAAATACAGTGTGGGCATAAGTTACTTTGGCTAAGTTTTTCCTCTGTCTTCTTTAATTTTTTAAACCACAGCTCTTCCAAACCATGAAATTTCAAAATGAGAATGGATAATCAGAAGTATTGAGAAAGCATTGTTTCATCAACTATGTTGCACAAGTTTTATTTCTTTAATATCATCTTTATTGAGATTGCATCTCCCTGCAGGAAATCTGGCTTTGGTCAATTAATTTTTTTAATTAATTGAAGAAGACAGCTCTGTTTATAACATTTGTTTAGTCATCAAAATTTAGCTTTTATGGTTTTCTTTAAGTGAAACACTTCCGAAAATACCGTGTGACTTTCACTCAGGCGCATTTTTTGCATCACGTTTACATCTGCAACCTCTTCAGTGAACAGCCATAGAGCTATTTAGTCATGTAGAGTATCCTAAATGTTGAGCAGCATTGTAACCTGCTGAGTCACTACCCTGGTCTCTGGCATGTAGTAACTAGCAACTGGCATGTCAAAAAAAGCAGCTGCTAATTGGTACTGAAGAAGGTGGAAGCAGAAGGACTGAACCAAATTAACAGCTCACAGCTGTGAAGAATTGTCACAGAGGTCTTTCTCCCCAGTCCTCTCCATTTCACCGACTCAAATGCCTGTCAGATCATGTAGCAAGTTGCTTACATTTGCTAACTTAGCAGAAATACATTTTTTTCCCCCTAGTTTTCTGCTATTTTGGCAAGTGGAAGTGATGTACTGTGTGATGGGCACTAGAGGAGCACTAGAAGAAGGGGGAAAGGTAGCTGTGGGTGCAGGATGAGGGGTACCCACTGAATGTGGATAGGATCTTTGACTGTTTAAGCTTTCTGGTGAGCATGTGAGACTAGAATTTTTCACAGGCTTCTAACTTGACATTGCAGCCAAATTTGCCATGCCTGTTATTTTAGTGCTGCAGTGAGATATGTTGTATTTTTGGCACAAGCATAATTCAAAAACGTTCTCATGATTTTCCAACGCTTCTGAGTTCCAGCTCTTCCCTAAAAAAAGTGTGGGATTTCTGGAACTGATTAAAGGCAAATTATGTAAAAAAATGTTTTCTTTCTTCTTGGAAATGGCTCAACTATTTTGGCTGAAATGCAACCTCTTCTGTCTCAAGTCCCCTCACAAACAGCAAACCAGAATGTGTAGTATATCAGCAGAAATTTTATCTCTTATTTTAGGGAGTAAACAAGAGGAGTTAGAGATGTGCACGTGCCTGCATTGGCATCACAGAGACATGGTGGGATGATGTCTATGACTCAAGTGTTGGAATGGAAGGATACAGGCACCTTAGGGATCGCAGGCAAGGGAGATGAGGAGGAGGTGTTGCCTTCTGAGTCAATGACCAGCTGGAGTGCATTGAACTCCAGCTGGGGACAGATGAGGAGCCTCAGAAGCAAAAGCTTATGAGTCAGGATTTAAGAGAGGACAGGCGACATTACAGTGGGGGGCTGATACAGACTGCCTGACCAGGAAGACCGAGTGGGTGAGTCCCTCTACAAACAGATAGGAGCAGCCTTGTGTTTATATGTCCTGGTCCTCATGCGAAGCTTCAATCAGCCCAATATCTGTTGGAGGGACAATGCAGCAGGACATAAGCAATCCAGGAGGTTCCTGCAAAGTGTTGATGACAACTTCTTTCTCCGAGTGATAGAGAAGCCAATGAGAAAGGTGCCATGCTGGACCTTGTTCTCATCAACAAGGAGGAGCTGGTGGGGAAGGTGAAGCTCAAGGGCAGCCTTAGTTGTCATGACCACGAAATGCTGAAGTTCAAGATCTTTAAGGCAGCAAAGAGGATGCACAATAGGTTCATTGCCCTTCAGGAGAGCAGACTTTGACCTCTACAGGGATCTGCTTGGTAGAGTACCATGGGTTAAAGTGCTGGAAGGAAGAGGCCCAGGAGAGCTGGATGATATTCAAGCATCATCTTCTTCAAGCTCAGGAATGGTGAATCCCAGCAAAGAGGAAGCTGGGCAAAAACACCAGGAGGCCTGCGTGGATGAACAAGGATCTCCTGGACAAACTGAAACACAAAAAGGAAGTCTCCATAGAGTAGAAGCAGGGACAGGTAGCCTGGGAGGAATACAGAGAGCAGCCAGAGATAAGTTAGGAAAACTGAATCCCTGATAAACTAAGTCTGGCCAGGGACATCAAGGGTAATGAGAAAAGGTTCTATAGTTATGCTGGTGCAGAATACTTGGAACAATTGCTAAAGGTTCTTTTTTATTGCCATCAATAGTGTAATTTGTCTTTATTGCCTTGAGAACAAGAACATACACCCTCAGTAACTGAAGTAGTAATAGATTCTCTTTATGCACTGGCTTTGTTTCTTGTTGACACACATCTTGTTACTGCTGTATTTTGCAAGTGTGTCACTAGCCAAACTCCTCCCTCATTTTTCTTTTTAGCCCTTGTGTCCTTCTAACTTCTTTTCTCTTGCTTTGTACCGTCATAGCCTTGAAGTTTATGCAACATTTCCCAAGACAAACTGAAAATAATGGTTAAAGTAAGTTCTGACAGAAACTGAGCACAAAGCATTGTTTTTACCATGGTTTTCCCTTAGATTGCTGTAAAATTATGTTTTGTAGCAAACCCAAGAAATTTTTTTGGAAGGACCCAATAACATAGGGCAATAGCTCCTTCTGCCTATATATATCCCACTTCTAGATCTCTGTCCCAAACAGTGACCTGGTGCACACTTTTTCCCTAGTATTGTCTAAACCTGTGGGAGGATGAGATACGGTTTTTTGGTCTGAAAGCTGCTGTGTATACCTGTTTCATGGAAACAGTACTTGCCTCCTACTTCGAGCCCTCTTGAGAGACAGGTTTGCATGGAGGGATGAAATTCTAGATAAATCTGAAGACCTAAGATGAAATAGGGATGCTAACTAGCTACAGCAATAGTAGAGCTCACCTTTTTCTTATGAACACAGTAGCTAGAGTTACTTGTCCAGTAAATAGGAATACTGGACTCTAGGTCCTTGTCTGGTGACAGGAATCTGAAACCTCTGTTTTCTACAGGTAGATCTTCTACTTACTAGCCAAAGGAGTAGTCTAGGTTGCCATTCATATTGGAGTTGGGCCACGTTACAGACAGGTGTTGTTACAGTTGAACAAGCACAGGATGAATGAGCAGACAGTGAGGTGGATTGAAAACAGGCTTAACAAACGGGACCAGAGGGTGGTGATCAGTGGCATGAAGTCCAGTTGGAGGCCACTGACTAGTGGTGTACCCCAGGGGTAATACTGGATCCAGCCCTGTTCAACATTTTCATTCCTGTTCTGGATGATGAGTAGAGCACACCATCAGTGAGTTTGCTGATGACACAGAACTGGAAGGCATGACTGATAAGTCAGAGGTTTGAGCTGCTGTTCATAGGAACTTCAGTGAGGTGGAGAACTGGGTTGACAGAACTTCACAAAGCCCAACAAGAAGAAGATGGGAGATCTTCATGGAGGTCTTCAAAAGCTGTCTGGATGTGGTCCTGGGCAACTGGCTCTAGGGGGCCCTGTGGTTCCTTCCAAACTCTATCATTCTGTGATTCTGTGAGTGCTGACAGCACTTGAGGTAAGGGGAGTGTTTGATTTTTATAATTTTCCCCTTGAACCCCTAGATTCAGCTGTACTTTTAGAAGAAATCGGTCTTCTTCTTTAATTTCCTCCTTCTTACCCTAGAGCCTGGGGATTTTTGGCTGCCCAGTAGTTCAGCTTCAGAGATCAAGCCAAGGAGAGGTGCCTTACCTTGTCTTGGCGCAGTGTCCTCCAGTCTGTTGCCAGGGGCACTTAGCTGGGATAAAACCAGTGTGAATTCACCCTCTTTTGGGTGAAAGATGACAAGGACTGTTGTCCACATCACGAACAATTGTTTTATTAGGTGGTGATGCACAAGACAGGCAGATCATTCCTTCTCCTGCACCAACCTTGTTTTTCAAAGGAATTCGCTAAGTGAATCTGCTCAGGAGATGACTTGGCAGGCTGCATGCCAAGTGAATGTGGATATATTTCTTACCAGTTCTTTACATGGTCTTTGGAAGGTGAATTACTTAGGTGAATTGGATTACCCTCAGCAGTATTTTAGGTTCATTTAGCCTCTCTCTTTGTTAAAGAAAATGTTTGCAGTCGTCTTAGGAAAACTGCGTCAAATTTCTCCCCTTGTGCAGCAAAGTAACAGTCAAAGCAATACTTAACTTGAATACAAGTGAGAAATGCTGAATAGCATTATTAACTATTACACAAATGCTAACAAAGTATCACGGGGCATCTTTACTTGAAGTATTTTATTTTTATTTTTATGACAGCGTTTCCTGCCCATCATTACTGAGAAGGAAATGTTCAGCTCTTTGATTTGGATGTTCATCCTCCTCTGCAGCTCTGTAGCAGGTATATTTCTTGATTATTAGCATCTGTCTTGCCATAAGAAAGTTTTCCAAGAGGTGACATTCTCCAAATGAGATTTTGAAGACTGCTGAAGACAGAAAAAGTGAATTTTTAAAACAGAAGTTAGTAGGTGATTGACTAAGTAGTGTACAGTATTGAGAGAAAGATTAATATATGGCACTCTTGATGTCCTCTTGTGGACAGATTTGTTATTTATTATTATTAAGAATTACAAATTTACAACATTTCATTTGGCTTCAAGAAATAAGTAGCAGCAAAATAAAAACACGAAGCAGGCAGGTCCTTGCAGGACTCTAGTGGGTGATTCTTGCACTGTTTTATAAATCTGCTGCTGAATTAATTTGTTCAGCCTGTGCCTGTGTTTTTTGTTTTACATGCACTTTATGTGCAATTCCTTCACTCTATCTGAGAATATGAATTATATGAGGGGTAAAGCTACTAATGAGATACTGAAATATATTTCATCTTACTTGTAAATTTTAGCCTTACTAGTTTGATGTATTTTCTGATATTGTAATTAGTAGTGATAACATGTAAATAGTATCTTTTACATATAGGAATGTTTTATAAAAACAGATTTAAAAGACAAGACTTTTGTCTTCATTTAGAGCTATTAAAAAAGCATCTTACTGGAAATTTCCTCATTATTTCTTTGAAGTTATAGAAACATCCCTTGAACATAATACCTATTGTAATGTAGTAGTTACTGTGAACTGAGTTTTCAGACCGGAATATCTGTTTTGAGTGACCAGCTGAGCATTTTATTTGAACTCTGTATGGAAAACAACTTACCGTTTTTTATACTTTAAAAGGAATTAGGTAATGTGATGTGTTTGATTGTGTTTTTAGATGAAAACTCTATCAGAGATGCTGTTATTTTTCCTTCATCTTCTGAAATTCGAAGAGGATCCTCCTTGAAACGTTCTTGTGTTCTTGGAAGACACAGTACACCTCGCAGAAATGCAAACCACATCATCTGGAAACTGAATCACGAACCAATTCCTCCAGAAAACTATAACATTGTGAATGAGACTGTATCCAGCGTAACCATCCATAATTTCACCTACAAAACAGCTCGTCTGAAATGTTACATTAAGTACTTGGGCAAAGAGCAACTTTTGGTTCACACAGAAGTTAAGTCTGGCTGTAAGTAGAAATACAGCAAAATGAATCTTTACTTTTCTTTTTTGGTAACTTATTGTAATAATTTTACTTTTAAAACAACTGTTTTTTCTTTTTATCTTGTGGCATTGTAAACCACCTGTATTTGAGTATCTCAATTCTTTTTTTCCTGACTGTCCTTACTGACACTGGTCTATAACCTCTCTGACCCTCACTTTTGGCCAGTTGAAGTTTTCTGTGGAGTTCTGAAGGTACTGGGTCTGTCCCTTTTGGTTCTGGGTCTGTCCCTTTTGGTTCTATCTTTTGTCTCGCCTTAGCCAACTTTAGTTCTCCCCAAGGAGGATTTTCTCTCTAATCCTCTCTTCCAAAGAAATTACAATTGCAATCTCTTATGGAGAAGATTAAAATATGTATATGAATTCTCTTAATTTGTTGAACAGATTAAGTCCAGATTATACTAATGTATACCTGGGGGTCTCATTCTAATAAAGAAACAATAAATGAAAAAGATATCTGTAGAATAAAATCCAGCAGAAGGTATTGCTTGCCTGCAAAGTTTAGTGTGCCGTAAGTTTGTCTACAAAAGAAAGATCTTTGTTCTATTAGATGGGGAGAAAAGTACTCTTTTGGAAAGGGATCTCTTTCAACCAGTTTTTATCATTGGGCACAGTTCCGTTCCTTTCCACTCATACTTTAGGCCCAGTTGGTAAAGTACCTATAAGTACTAGTTGGAGAAAACCTCACGGTTTCCCAGGAAAAAAAAGTGATTTTATATTGGTTTTATGAGGAGTTTTGAGGGCAGTAAGAAATGATAAAACGAAGTGCTATGCAAGATGCTGAATGAAGTTTGTCATAATCTACTTTTTGACCAATAAAATCTTTTGTATGTTAATGTTACTTATTTTTACTGGATTTTTTTAATTGGATTTTTTTTAACCTCTGTCATTGTAGTTCCCCCAGAAAAACCACGAAATATTTCCTGCATTTATTTCTATCGTGATAAACTTGCCTGTACTTGGAATTCAGGAAGAGAAACAGATCTACCAACACACTATACTCTTTATAGAAAAGTGTAAGTATGGGAGGCATTGGGAACTGGGTTCTAGGGCTGTGTCCACCAGCTCCATTCCCCTCTCAATCTTGATTTCCCTTTAAAGAAAATCTGGAAACATCATGGAGTTCAGACTCATGGCATTTCCATGGTAAATTAAGTTAATTAATTCAGGGTTGGTAGTCACTGGAAAAAGTGACATTCTGGCACCTTTTTGGTCTGCTGTATAAAGGAAATGAACATTCTCAACCCAACGTGCAGTACAGAAATGTTTACATCAGAATTGATATTCACTTGTTCCCTTGAAGCAGCACTACTAATTAGATGGAAAGCTGAGTGAGCCTAGGTACAAATGGAGAATGGAGGTGCTTTGTGGGACTGTTACGCAGAAACTTTCCTTGTAACTAACTATCTTCATTTTTTATGGGTAAAAAGGATTGCTTCCTCCTCTGTTTTAAACAATTCTCTGTCAAAACTCATAAAGCCCCTGTTATGCTGCTTACGGCCAGCAAGGTTTAACCTAGGGACCATTGGAGCCATGAGGTTTCAGTGAAAGAATTCAGAGTTAGTTGTCCTTTCTGAATTGCTTCCATCTGGGGATTTCTGTTTACCAATGCAAATTATTCAGTCTCATGCTTTTTAGTGCTTTCGTGACCCTGTTATAGAAGCCTAAATACTTGGTTCTTTCAGTTTGTTAGGTTTTAAATATTGTTTGGAGATTGCTTCTTTCATAAGTTACTTTGAAAATGGTGAAATGACTTGTTCCAAGGCAGATCTCAGAATTCTGAAGGTTACAGCACAGATTTTGTCCCAGACATACTTGTCAATCTTTCTCCATCATAGTTTTGCTTGTAGTAGTGCTCTTTTTCTGCCAGATCTGGACTCTAGCTAATATGGTTTCATGAAGAAGTTTCTAAAATCCCTAAAGATATTCCTGAGCATGGGAAGGAATTCACACTCCGGAGGGAGTTTTTATATTGTACTAATGTATGGGGTTTTTTTGGTTTAAATTGTAGGGCAGGAAAGCATCTTTAATTTTACCTCCTTTTAGGCTTGACATTTTAGGCTTCCACCTTTTTTTGTGTGGACCTTTCTTACTCTTTCTAATGTTTCTACATTTTATAATTTAGCTGAGTTTGTGAAACCATAAGCTGGAACAGTTATTATAAGTATGTTCCAATATTATTCCCTCCTGCACAAGCACAAATTCTCCATTAACCATACAGCAAATTGGATTGCAGAACTATTTCCATTAAATTTAACAATTAGTTTTATTCCAGATAACTCCCCAGCTGAGTTTACCATATGACTACAGAAGCACTGGTACCTGGGGGCATAGAGTTGTGGGTAGAAACCACCTGCTTTGTGTGTTAGGGAGGGTCAGACTGCTGCTTTTCCCACAGTGCAGGTTTACACTAGCTTAAAATATTGATGAAATACCACAATCAGACTGTACATTGAGTTACACAAATGACCTCCTTGCTTACTGCACCATATGAAATACTTAACACAGCCCCCATATATCAGTTTTTATTTGTTGAATAATTTCTCCGTGGGTCGGTAAAATGAAGCATATTTTGTTAGTTTGGCATCCCATGCTAATTATTATGGAAGTGTTGTAAAGACAGTATATTATCTATGTGTTTTGTCAAATTTCTATTGCCTTGTTATCGTCTGGTAGTGGTAGATTTTGGTTTTTTTCTGCATTTAAAAATGAATAAAGGCTTGTTCTTGCATAGCTCCATGGGGCACATGTTACTAGTTCTGTCTGCTTATCTAGCTACACTATGTGGAGTTACATGATTTCACTTCTCTTTGAGATTTTAGTCAAAAATAATCATAGAATGTGAATTCCCCATTAAGACATTTTTACTTTCTTCTGCCCCTGGAAAATGATTTTCTAATTGCAGTTAAAACTGAGCCTGTGCAGGCTGTTTATATGCATTTTCATGAGCAGTGCAGTTAGCAAAGAGTATCATTTGCACAAACACATCATCTAAAGGTGTTCACTGGTAAAAGAGTCCTGCAACCTCAAGAATGTATAAATGATAATTAAATAATAATCCAACATTCAGTTTGAATTATTCTAAGAAAATCTTCTAATTTCTAACACCTTTCATTTGTCTTTTATGTTTTTCAGGATGAGAAGTGGAAAGGTGAAGTCTCTAGGAGGAGACAGCACATGTGAGAGCAACACGACGTCATGTACCTTTGTTCATCCAGATACTCCATATAGTGATTTTCTCTGTTTTGAAGTGAAAGCTGAAAATGCTTTGGGTGTAGTCATGTCAGAAAGTGTTACTAAATCTATGGGAAAAATAGGTAATTAAAAAAGAGTTAAGTAAATATTTAATTGATGGCCTTTTCATGTACAATTCTTCAAACAAGTTGGTGTTACAGGAGTAATTTTCAGGAGTTTCTTGGTCTTATCAAGAGGTGGTGAAAATAAAGGGTCTTGTATTTGTACTATGAAATATTTAACTGCAACAGTATTTTTTTAAGGTAATATCTAATGTGTCACTATAAATTACTGGGTTTTTAATTAATGATAAGTAAAAGCCATGTACTAAAACTTACTGTCAAACTAAGTGGTACTTGGACTATACTTCTGTATTTCTGAGTGGTACCAAATGTCAGTGCAACATCTGGCTGTAAATGAACAGTGATATTATGATTTCTGCAGGGCAGCCCATTATTTACTCTGCTGTTCTACTTCCTGGTAGGAATGTTCCAAAAAACACCTGTTCTGTGTTTCCCAGGAGCACTAATAATATTCTGTTTCTTCTCCCTCTGCCTTGTGCTGTATTTTCCTCTGTTCATTTGGTGTAGTTAATCTATAACCCTTATAACTGACTATTTTTTGCTGCATCACTCATAAGCTCCCCAGTCATATGTTCCTTTATTCTTGTGTTCAGGCCTGCTGTGGCTCCTCATAGCTCTCCACATACTTAGTGCCATCCACCCCTTTCCTCAGTGCTAATCCATTCTTTTCCCATCACCTCCTTCACACTTCTCTCCCCCTCAAATTCTTTTCAGTTGAATTCTTCCCTTATCTGCAGTTCAGGTTTGTCTTTGGCATCCCAGCTCTGCTTCATTTATTTTCACTGAGTAGCATTTTCCAGAGCTGATACGGATGAAAGAAGCCTGCACATCTGTTTGGGAGCAGAATCATAGAAAGGCTTGGGTGGCCAGAGGCAGCTTGCACTAGACCAGGCTGTTCAAAGTCCCATCTAACTAAACCAGTTATGTGTGCAATTTCTCTTACAGATAACTTCCCATATGTAGAGTTCTGTCTGTAAAACAGACCATCATGTGAATGCTCTGATAGAAAGTGCATTGGTGGAATAATAATTACACTGCTTTGAACACACACAGAGAATTCTGAACTTTTGTAGAAGCATTTTACTCTCTTAATTAACCTTTTGTTTCTTCATTCTAGAGAAATTTGCCCCCCCTGAAATACTTTCAGTTAAGAAAATCACTGGTGTAAAGAATTTGCTTACAGTAACCTGGAAAATGCCTGAGAAGATGATCCCTTCACAAGATTCAATTTGCCAGATTCAATACAGAAACTTGTATTCAAACCTCACAGTAAGTTACATCATTTTTCTTCTGAATCCCAGCTGCTTGGTGGCTGATTTCGTAGTGCTATAAAAGGTTAAACAGAAAAAAAAGGCAACAAGTAGTTTGAATAATTAAAACCTTATTATTTGAGTGGAACATAATCAGGTTTGCATGATCTTAAGATCATAGTTTTGTTGTCTAGGATTAATTTTTCTTTCTTTTGGTCAGTGTCTGTTTTGGTACACACCATAATTCTCAATATATTTCTGTGAAAAAATAAGGGATAACCTTAGGCCAAGGGATTACATACACAGTCAATCAAAATAGTGTATTTTCCCCTTGCATTCTGGTGTGGAAAACAGTTTTTACTCCCAATCACAATCAGTTGAATCTGATGTAAGAGGTACTGATGTTGCATTAATTTTCAAGTGAATTAAAAGACAAATTTCGCAAGATGGAAAATAAGGGAAGTAATTTTCCTGAGTTTATCTTTCTGACACTTCAATGGAACTGTTGGAGAAAAACCCCAGTGTTTAGTCATTTGCATATTTCAGATGATGTATTCCTGTGCTCCTAAATATGGAAAGGATGACTCCTTTGTAGTTTTACTGTTTCCTCATCCACATTTAAGAATGGGACAGGTTTTTTGGCTTGTTTTTTTCTAAGTTCGTTGTCTGCCTTGATCTTACTATTTTATACATTACACATGTAGTTCTGGGAGAGGCGAATTAATCAAGATAGTCTTCAGAGCTTTAAAAAATCAAATTACTAAAGATGTTTTTAATTAGCATCCTTCTCACAATGTCATGGCAAGTATCTTTACTGTAGATATGACATACCAATTTTTAGATTCAGGATTAAATATTAGTGATGATTGGATGGGCAGGATGTCTTGAGTCCACCTGGGATATTAGAAACAGAACTAATAATTATTTACAAGACCTGTATGTGATGTTTATCCCTTTGGAATCAAGATGCTGGTGTCTTCGTGGTGCTTACATGCTATGAGGTCCTTCTGAAATGTTGAAGACATTCAAGTTTTTGCAAAATTACAGCTTTACTGTGCATGGTGTCAATTTTTCAGCACCTGCATTAGAAATCACCTGTCTGCTTTTTTACTATTAAATAGAGTCTACATCCATTTGCTTCCTCAGATCTCACCTGCGTTTTTCCATAGACATTCTAGAGGAAAAACAGTGGCTATCCAGGATCAGTAAAGACATAGGAGCTGTTTTTCTGTCCGTGAGCACATTCTCTTTAACACCTTTATTGATGATCTGGATGAGGGGATTGAGTGCACCATCACAAGTTTGCAGATGACACAAAGTTGGGGGGGAGTGTGTATCTGCTGGAAGGCAGGAGGGCTCTGCAGAGGGACCTGGATAGGCTGGAGAGATGTGCTGATTCCAATGGGAGGAGGTTCAACAAGGCCAAGTGCTGGTCCTGCACTTTGGCCATAACAATCCCATGCAGAGCTCCAGGTTGGGGATCCTGGGCTGGATCAGGACCAGCGTGGTCAGCAGGACCAGGGAGGTGATTGCGCCCCTGGACTTGGCGCTGGTGAGGCCACACCTTGAGTACTGTGTGCAGTTCTGGGCCCCTCAGGTCAGGAAGGATATTGAGGTGCTGGAGCAGGTCCCAAGAAGAGCAACGAGGCTGGTGAAGGGACTGGAGCACAAGTGCTATGAGGAAAGGCTGAGGGAGCTGGAGTTGTTTAGCTTGGAGAAGAGGAAGCTCAGGGGAGACCTTATCACCCTCTACAACTTCCTGAAAGGAGGTTGTAGTAAGGTGGGGGTTGGTCTCTTCGCCCAGGCAACCAGCAGGAGGATAAGAGGGCACAGACTCAAGCTCTGCCAGGGGAGATTGAGATTGGACATTAGGAAGAGATGTTTTACAGAGAGAGTAATCAGGCATTGGAATGGGCTGCCCAGGGAGGGGGGGGATTCACCGTCCCTGGAAGTTTTCAAGATGAGACTGGATGTGGCACTTAGTGCCATGGTCTAGTAACAATGGTAGAGTTGGACACGATGATCCTTGAGTTCTTTTCCAGCCTGGTTGATTCTGTGATTCTATATATGCAAAAAAAAATATTGAAAAGAAATGTTTGAGTGAATGACAAATGCATTCTTGACCTTTTAGGCCTTTCTGTCAAGTCTATCTTAGTAGCTTGGTGTGAACATCATTTATTGAGTGAAAAACAGATGAGCTGCGTTTCTGCTAGTAGATGCTAAGTTTCCAATTATAATGAAATATTGTTGACAGCTTTTTGGCAAGTAACTAAAAGCTAATCTGGGGTGTCTACAATTCTGTGTTAGGAGGTTGAGGATAGTTTTGAAGCCTTTTGAAGTCTTTATGTAGGTCCACCGAAGAGTCTGTAACCTAGCAGTGGTTTGTGGATAGCTGAATTCATTCTCATAGAAGCACTTTTCTTTTATTTGACAAGGAGTTTCTTGAGGTCAGAATAGATGAAGATTTCCAGTTTTGTTAGGGAGTGCACTTTCTATTGTGGTGCTCAGAAGCGTGGGTGCCTGTTGTTATAGTGTGCTTCACTTTTCATTGGAAGGTTCAGCTGATGGAAGACAAGAATTTCTTCAGTTTTTTAGCCCTGTTGTAATCTATGTGACATCAGTTTGGCTGCCAACAGGGAATCTTCCTTATTCTAAAACTTACCGTTGCTGACCTTGTTAGGATTTAGCTAGTCTTAACATTTGTTTCAGTATCTTTCTGTTTTGGTCACCTGAAATTTGAGAGGGAGAGAGTTGGTAATTATGGAGTAATTCCTGCATTTTGGAAGAGAAGACATTAATGTTGATGTAGCGATTACATCAATCCTTCTGTAGACAAACACATCTTCCTACAGCTCCCATCGTTTTCTTCTGCTTCATGTTGTCAGTCCAATGGAGTTGATGCACCAACTCTAATTCCTGGGTTTCATATTTTCTTTCACATTTTGTTTTGGAAGAGCAATCTGGCTTCTGACTTCCACCAGTGAGAAGTGAGTCCTTTTAAGACAAGGAAATGACTCATTTTGTCATGACTTTTCCAGAAAGATACTGCATCAGTTATTTCTCATACTCTTGTCTTCTTTCACCACTTAAAGGCTCCATCTTCTTCTTTTTTTTCCCCTCTCAGTACCAGAATTTCTCATGTTTTCATTTGTCTTGTCATTTTAATCAGATGCTGACAATCTTTGGGATGGCTCACAGCCATACTATTGTATGGCTAAGAGCTAGAAGACCTTGTAGCTCAGAGAAGAAAAACAAGAAAAGACAAAAAGACCCAGCTGACTCACAAGCTGTGGGTGACTACTGCTTTCCTCAGGATGGTCATGTGGGACCTTATTGTAATAATAGCTTTAGCAATAACCAGTTGCTTCCCATGAGTAGGAACTGCTTTCATCCATCACCATCTGTGCCAGCACAGCTGCTTTAGAATGACATGTGGGCTGCACACAGTTCATGCAAGAGATCACTCAGTACAGACTTAGTTTTGTCTCAAGTTTTTCAAAGGAAAAATGATGATGCTACATAGAAAAATTAAATATAAACCAGGCAGTTCTGAGTTTCAGAGAAAAAAAACCCTTCATCCAGTGTGTTTTTTTTAAAACTAAGTCATATCTGCATGGAATGTAGTAGCAAATCCTTTTTGTTCATGTGCCTACTTTCAGAAATTTGTCACTGTCCCACTGAAATATCCACAGAAAATAGGAACATGTAATCTCACAGGTCTGTGGGACTCAACAGAATATTCAGTTGCCATTCGGTGTATCAATGTCAATTCAATATTTTGGAGTGAATGGAGTGAAGAGGAAAAAGGAAGCACAGAAGAGACAGGTAAGCTAACTGTTTAGTAAGTTTTCCTTCAATTATACTTTGAGGCATTAGGATTTAGTAAGGGAAAATACTGTTTTCAGCATGTTATCTATCTACTGAATTTTGAATTGTGTTGCTTAACGAGAACATGTGCGCTTTGTTTAAATATAGAAGAGAGAAGCTGAAAGATGAGCAAGTAGTAGGGGAGATCTGAAAAGTGATACAAACAACACAGGGCTAAGGAAGAAAATGGGTGCATAGACAGCAAAGGGGAAAAATTACAAGTGTAGACGAAGATTGAACATTGCGAAGTAGGATAGTAGCAGAAATGTGTAGCAAGTATGTGCAATAAAAAAATAATTGTAAGTAGAGAAATTAAATTGCCAGTTATAAAACCAGACTAGAAAATCTCCTCCAGGGCTTAAGAAATAAGAGAAAGCAGAATGAATCTTATGGAAAGAGAGAAGCTGTACTAATCATGGGAAGAACGGCACAACATTACACAAAGAAAAATTTATTTTTGATAAGTTTCTCTCAGACTGTATGTTTGAAACCTTCTGATTGGTTTTGCCATATTAAACTACCTTTTTAAGATTTTTTTTTTTGTGTCCTTAAAGCTCCTTTGGTAAAAATGGATTTGTGGAGGGTAATTGAGTCTCCAAACTCATCTGGAAGGAGATATGTACATCTTATGTGGAAGGTATGTGTTATTTTTCTAAATTGGTAGTTGTCTTGGTGTCCTGTAGCCAATTTTGCATTGAACTATGTCAGTGTTGTAGGACATACAACTGCCAGGGGGGATTTGTTGTCATCAGAAAAGACCTCACCAAACTAAAGAGGAATGGAAAAGGCTTTTGTGTACTGAATGGTAGATGAGTAGAGTTTTCTAATCTGTGTGGAAAGGAAGCATTTAATTGTGTTCAGGTCACTGGAAAATCGGATTGAAAGTCCTTAAAACTGCTTTTAATGATGGCTAACGAAAGCTGTGTTTAAATTCACTTTACTCTTCTAGTAAAGTGTCCAAAGACTCTTTGCATTTCAAGTCTAAATATTTGACTTTTGAACCTTTCCTTCAAGGAAGTTGTTGTGACTGTCCTGAAGATGGGATTGAAGAAAGTACCTTGCTTTTCTACATACAGTATAATCATTTTGTATGATTACAAAATGATTGTAATCATTTTGATTTGATATTAAAGAGTTAATACAGCATTTAAGTTTGATTGTGCAAATAACACTGTGAAACTCTTACTACCACATACTTTTTTGGATAGACATTGAACAACTTTCCAGCTTCTCGGAGAATTCTAGGCTACAAAGTACAGTATTTTCCAGAAAACAATGCTGCTCTTAAAATGACAAACAGGTCTACTGCTCAGAAAATCACTTTGCTTTTAAATGAAGAGGCACATATAATATCTGTTACTGCCTATAACTCTGCTGGAAATTCTCCTGAAGCTGTTTTGAGGATTCCATCCACTCATGAAAAAGGTAAGATTTCTCAATGTCGTGATATATTTTTCCCATTAACAGATAAATTATCTTCCTGACATCTGTTTAAAGTCTGTTACAGTAGAAGCAAAACTGCTAAGGACTTTTGCCGTGTACATATACGTAAAACTGTATTAAGTATAAAGCTGTGTAGTCCGCTACTTTTTACTAGAACAATATTAAGGGGTTGTATTTTGCTGTCACATATCATATTTCTGATATAGACCTTTATTGTTGGGGAGCTTGTTTTGAGATACAGCCATTAAGATACAAATAATTCCTGATGTCTAAT